ATGACTCCTTACTCTTGCCAGCTTGCTCGTGTGCCAATTACGATTGTTTTGTTTCCTGTTGCCAGTGCTACTACATTGGAGGCGTTGAAGATTCAGCCACTCGCACACTCAAGGATATCACTCAGCCAATGAGCTATTCCATGCCCGCTGAGAAGATCTGTGAGCGTCTGAAGAAAAAAGATCCTCAGATCTGTGAGCTGCGGTATGGTAAGTAATGAGTTTTTTACATCCAGTGTTCACTTTTGTACTGATTTTATTCGACTCACCAGCGAATCATCTTGTGATTGGGTTGGTGGCATGCGCGTTGTAAAAGTCGATAAACTTGATGCAAGACCTTATGCTACCATGTATTTCAGTGGTCACACTCGTTCAAGGCATTTCCTCCTTTCAGACAAGCAGATCGACCTGAAGAACGTGGACCTGAAGAAGCTGAAGGTGCGGGACCTGAAGAAAATCCTCTCCGACTGGGACGAGATCTGCGACGGCTGCCTCGAAAAGACCGACTTCATCAAGCGGATCGAGGAGCTCAAGCCCAAGTTCATCCGCGAAGAGCTATAGAGATCTGTTCTAGGCACTGTTTATTTATGTGGGTTTGCTCTGAGTTTGGACTGTGGGTCACGCGCTGGCAGCGGTGGCATGCGACCGATCCGAAGCCGCCAGCTGCTCCCGACGCAGGGGCACAACGCTGTTATGATTTGAGGCTGATGTATTTGTTACCGACGGAGCATGCGTTTGTTAGCACCGGGCGGTGGCCACGTGCTCCATTCCTGTAGACCTATTATTGTCAAGTTTCAGACGGGCGTTGAAATCGTCGAAGCCGTGTCAGAGTCCGGCCAGCCGCCATCCGGCGGCATGGCTCTCACTGCGAGTGAATAAATCCGACGTCACATTTTCTACTATTGTTTCTGGTCAGCGCTGTGCTGAACGCCGGCTGGGGTGCCGAAGGGCGGGTGAGAGTGACAGCGGCTGGGCTGCCGACGAGCGGATGAGGGTGGCGACGGCTGGGGTGCCGACGAGCAGGTGAGAGTGGCGACGGCTTCGGTGTTGAGCGCGTGAGAGCGACGGCGGCTGGGGTGCTGACGAGCGGATGTGACTGACGGCGGCTGGGGTGCTGACGACCCGACGGTTCCGGCGGCCTGCAGACCAGTGAGTGTCAAGGGCTCCCACTAGGGGCGCAGTGCCACTCGAGCCGCACAGTCCTGTCAAGGAAGCTCGATCTCGCCGATCACGAGGACATCGTGAGCGCGGGTTGTTGGGCCAGGACCTGGGTAGGCCGCTTCCGATCGCCATCTGGGCTGGCACATGCACTCTGCTCAGAGACCGCAGGACGGGGAAACATGCTCGGATTACGTTGGCAACTGCATGTGCAAGCGTGATCGGTGTGAGTGCGGTTTCTGTGTATGCTGGTTGATGGGTGTACTAGGCCGCTTCCACTCATGTAGCTCGTGCAGCGTCCGTAACAGATGTTTTATTGGCAGGTGATCCGCATCATACTTTTACAATCAGTGCGGCGTTGCGCAACATGGTACCATGCACGCATACTTGCTTTTGCGCCGGCGAGTGCGTAGTGCAGAAACGTAGCTCAGCAAGGAATTTTCTAAATGCTCTTGACACGCGCTCGGGTGGGGGGTCAAACCCACCCTCAAATGTTTTTTTTCCGGAATGGCTTCGAAGGGGTGCGGCGTGGTCGCGCTAGATTTGCATAACTCAAAAATTGAATAGGGGATCGTTTGGCATACAATTTAGATGTACCTTGTAAGGTCGTTGGCCTACAGCAGATCAAAGTCAGGCCATGGATTCAGCGAAGCCAATTTCAAGAAAATCGTTCAATCCGATGTAACAGCGGAATGTCTGACGAAGCCACACATTTCTGAGATACCTTTCTATGCAACCCAAGAATTGAATGAATAAATTCCATGGACGTGAGGTCAGGTATGAAGGTCAGCTAAAAGTCAAAACTAATCTGCTTTATGACTCTACGGCTTGCTGTACGGGGTAGTTTCTGGTGCTCATGTCGAACTGATTAATAACGAAACCTCATTATACCTCTTCGACAGACTTCTTGAAGGTTCTAATAGGTCACTGACCTAAAATGACACAGGACATCACTTTGTTTTTAGGAGCATGCTGCCTAGCATAATCTTTGTCAGTGATTGAAATGCCAAACTCAAAGCAGTCTTTTATGATTCTGGTCGTCATGACCTTCGAAAGTTCAAACGAGGTCACCGACCTTAAGTAAACATGTGACCTGCTTAGAACAGGTGTCTGGGTTCTGGGGGCACTTTGGACACCAACTTGGAGTTTGGCCCTGTTTGACCCTGGTTGACCCAAATATCATGACCTAGAAACCTCAAACTTTGACATAAGTGAGTTCAAGCACAGGCGAACACACCCCGTGAATTTGGTGTCTCTAGTTCCCGTAGTTTCTGAAACTGAAGGGGGTCAAATTGATACCCCACCCAAGCGAAGGGCATCCAGCTGACCACCCCTGGGGGGGGGGGGGGGGGGGGTTAATGCAGCTTGAGTCGTCACGCTGCGTGTCCGGAAGAGTTAAAAGGGAAGCGTGCGGACCTAGGCGAGGGGACCGTCAGCACCCAGACAGGGATCCGCAACATGGCGGCCTGTCAGTGGCCGCCGCATCTGAGGCACGATGGCGCGACGTCCCCGCCAGTCGGTCAGGTGGTGGCGTGGGCGTCACGTGACCAGTCAGAGCGAACGAAAACAAACCGCGGCAGAAAGTGGCGTACATCGCACGTGTGGCCTATGCGTAGACAACATGACACCACGCCCTGCCTGTTGTGAGGAAACTCGAAGTCCTTCAGTCGAGTTTCATAGCTTCCAGCTCGTTGTTGTCCACAGCCTCCTATGCCTGTCAATTTCTTCGTAGAAGAGACAGTAACTGCGTGTGGGAGTTGGTAGGGCGATTGCAAGAAGTGTACATGGTGACGGATGTTGCTGGCCTGGCATAGACATTTGCAAGTTCGCCCCCTTGCTCACTGCTGTTTTTACAGTCCAGCATCCAATGTTATTTACTGCTGTTGCAGGGCATCCTCCACATGACTGAGTACAAGGTACAGAGTGACAGTCCGGCCAGGCCGAGGTAGTGGCCGTCGGCGGGGTCTGTGTAGCGGTGGACCATGCCCCGGGCCAGTCTGTCAGCATGTAAGGCGAGTGGGGCCATGACTCACGTCTGAGTGAGGGGAACAATCACGGCTCGGGGCGGTGCGTCACGGCGGCGCCGGCCAGTCGCTCGCAGATCGTGTTGCGAGGATGGGCCTTGGAAGGAGTACGAGAGGTGCTGCTCGGGCGCGTGGGGTGGGAGTCTCCCTGTCGGCGTTGCGTGCGACAGTTCGCCGTTGTGTGTGGGGTGGTCCAGCCGCGATGTGACCCCGAATACAGTCCGGTCGGGTCTGGTCTGGTCTGGCCTGGTCGGTCGGCGGCGGCCGGTCGTCACGCGAGGCAAATATTCCCTCATGGAAAGGAACTGGAATGAACTTCCCAGGTCTTGTGAAACCAGGTGTGGGCCGTCGCTTTGGTAATGCCCGCAAGCCCCAGAGAATACACAGGCGCAAGCCACAGCAGTACACCCGCGACCGCCAATCACAAAGTGACGACCGCCATGCTCCATTTGATGTTGGCAAGATGGGCCCTTCGCGCGCGGAGCTTGGGCAGCTTGGGCATGACGAACGTCACAAGATACCTCCGAAACTAGCATCACCAACAGATTAGACACAAGAGACCACGGCGCCAAATGCATGCACTTCCGAACCGAGTTCTGATGATAGGTCCAGAAACAGACACTTTGGGTTCGGACTCATTTATCCCCCACTGACCGCCTCCAACACCCGCGGCATGGCAACGGCCCGGCCGCCACGTCCGCAACCACTGAGCACTCGGCAGTCTGACGCTGCTGACCACATATACGCGGCTAATCCTTTGGTTTATTTGTGCGACAATGCGCGTTCGTCGTTCGCAAGGCTCAGTAGTACTGCTACGAGGCTGCAGCTGGGTTAGTACGCGTAACTCTGTCATCTGTGACCAAAGGTTACAAGCGAGAGTTAGTCTCCCCCACACCAGGCGTCGCTGCCGTCAGGCTTCTCACCGCAGAAGTCGACCGAGCGACGCAGAAAACACCAAATTGGGCAACCAGCAAACACCACAGGCACTGATGGCGCCTACGCCGCAGTAGCAAGACAGTCACCTACGGCACACCTCAACCAGCCAGTCTCAACAACTTAACATTATGCTAGCATCCGGCTATAACTGCTGTCAGACAAGTACTACGGGAAACGCTACAATTTCTCGCTACTTCGCCAACGAAAACCCAAACTCACGGATAAAGATACACAATAAATAAGCGCCATGACAATGTCAGTCAGGTCCGAAGCCAGGCTGGAACAAGATGACTAGAGAAGACAGAACGCAATGTATCGCGCGTTGAGCGATCTACAAAGAGGCAGGAGACTGCGGGGGCGACGGACACTATCATTCGCTATCAGACCATAAGCCCTGAGGCGCGCTGAAACAAACACGCGCACCACAGTCGGATGCACGATTGCATATACTTTACTAACAATCACAGGTTCTCCTACCGCCCAGCACTGGCGTCGGCGCTTAGCGACACATTTGCACGAGCTCAGGTATATAAAAATAGGCTAATAAATGCTGATACTCGGGCGCGGGACGCCCGGTTCGCCCGATAAAGCGGGCTCGCGCCTAGCAGCTGCCGGCGGCCCCAGTCCAGGGTCGTGGACGGATTCCGTACTGTCCCGTGATTATTGTCCGAACTCAGATATGCGGACTGGCCGGTGCGTGCTGCCACTAACCGGGCAACACGCGCCCGCTCCCACTGACGGCCCGGCCCACCGCTGGCAGTGCGCGGTCCGCCGCGCCGACCGCCGCTCCCACTCGCCGGACTGCGGCACCACCCCGCCGGGCGCCGCGCGGCCGTCACACGAAGCGTGGCGCCGACCGGCGCGCCGCGTCAGGCGGGTCCCGAGAGGCCCGCGTGCAGCCGGCCGCTGCACCCGCCACCGGCGCCGAGAAACCGCCGCACCGCCGGTCGGCCATCAGCCGACCGCTCAGTTGGCCTCCGAGAAGCCGTCGTACAGTTTGGTGATGACCACCTCGCCGGTGGAGAGCGTCTGAACGGCGGCGTCGCGCGTCTCGGCCGGCAACGCGGCCGCCGTCTCGGCGCCCTGCGTGGCCGCCGACAGCACCTCCTCCAGCCGGTGGATGCGCTCCAGGCGGCCCAGCTTACCGTTGGACAGCACCTCGTCCACCATGGCCATCGACTGCGAGATGCTGGGCGAGGTGACGCAGCGCGGGGACAGCACGCCGCCTGCCGGGAGGGCGCGGGGTAAGACAGGCTTCGCCGCCGGGGGATGGCACGGCCGGGGAGAATGAACGGCGTGACGATGTGACGTAAAAGGGCTCGCCACATGTAAAATGGTGAACACAAAGGGCGCCGCATATTGGACAGGCCTCACTGTCATCGGTGCACCGATCCTCGGGAGCGGACAGGCCAGGTGGCATTTGTCGGACTGCATTGGTGACGTCACCACTGTCCGACCCGGGACACCGCCGGTGGCCAGCAGCAACACTGCCTGCATGTGGGCATCACTGCTGCTCCCATTGTCTAAAACACACGTCCAGCAGCTGAGGGATGGGACGGCGTTCTTGTGAACACGCTGGCGCGGGCCACCACACCATATCACGTGCACCAGCCGCCAACACTCAGCGCTAAACGCTAACACGCGTGGGGGCTTGGAGCCGTGGCGGCGCAGGCGCGCGGCCGGCCGGCCGACGAGCGGAGCGGGCGCGGGCAGCTGGAGGGCGCGCCGCGGCTCGCGTCGCCTCACCGGTGCTCTCGGCGGTGGATGAGTCGCCAGAGGTGCGGCCACCGCTCTCCACGCTATTATTGCTGGCCATGCTGCTCAGGCTCGGGTACTCGGAGTCGCCGTTCATCCAGGGCAGCGACGTCTCCGACTCCTCGGCCTGAGCCTCTCTGTCGACGCGGCAGGCCACCGCTCGGTGAGAACACACGGTCGGCGAGCATTCGCGGTCCAGCGCAATTCGCGGCGCCGCTACCGTGGATGGGCGCAGCTCGGAAACCTCTCCTGGCTTGCTGTCCGCCCCCCCCCCCCCTCTCTCCCTCTCCCTCTCCCCTCTCCCTCTCCCTCTCCCTCTCCCTCTCCCTCTCCCTCTCCTCTCCCTCTCCCTCTCCCTCTCCCTCTCTCTCTCTCTCTCTCTCTCCTCTCTCTCTCTCTCTCTCTCTCTCCTCTCTCTCTCCTCTCTCTCTCTCTCTCTCGTCTCTCTCTCTCTCTCCTCTCTCTCTCTCTCTCTCTCTCTCTCTCTCTCTCTCTCTCTTTCCCGTTTCTCACACCCTTGCCATCAAGGTTTGTAGAGTCAACAAAACACACAAAATGGCAAAAGAGGTGAAAACAAATCCCCTAGTTCAGCTATCACATACCACTATCAGCACATTTATTACGACCGTTCACTTCATCGGGGTTGAACAGAGCGATCCCACGGACAAGGATCTTCAGAGAAGCGAATTATATCGCCCAAACAAACAGCAAGATCGGCTGCGGTGATGACTCGTGCCCGACAAACAAATGTAAAAAAACGTTCGTTCCCTGGTAACGCCGTAATCCTCACCCATCCTCGCGCTTCTGCTGCAGCCTCTCCAGCTTCTTGGCCACCTTGTACGACTTCTCCAGCTTCTCCCGCTGCTCATCAGTCAGCTCCACGTATCTGACGAAGAGAGCGCACGGTTCTGAACAAGCCGCACGAGGCCGAGGGTGGCGCCGGCAACACAGGCCACGTCAGTGACCGGTTATCCATGGACATGACGTGTCGACGGGCGCGGCGGCACGTCCAGACGGTACCGCTGTCCGGGCACGACGACTGGCGTCCCGGCCCGTCTCAGGTACCAGTCCGGTCCGGGACGACCGTCCCACCAGAGCCGACCCCAGTGGTGCCCACCTCAGCAGACGGATCTCGCGGTTGCTCAACACAAGGTTCTTGCCGACGGCCGTCTTGTCCAGCTTCTCCTTGAGGTCGGTCACCTCCGTCTCCACCTTGCGCTGCTTCTTCTTCTGCTTGACGTCGTCCTGCCGGATGTACATGGTGACCTGCTCCTCGCACAGGTCGGCGAACAGCTCGCGCAGGCTGGGGTCGATGGCCCTGCGACGCCGGGACAGCCCGGTCAGCCCCGACACAGGCTCGCAGGCGAACACAGGCGGCAAGCAGGCGCCGCCGACCGCTGCTATATAGGTATCGGGGAAAGCTTTCCATAGGTCCACGACAGATTGCTGTTGCCTGGAGAAGCAGGCGGGCATGAGAAATAACACGCGAATGTTGCACTTTTCGCAATCGTCATTTCACATCCCAGCAACACGCTTTCTAGCAGCGTGCATGTCTGATCACCACAACCATCGGATTGCACAAGAAATAGTGAATTTCTTGCACGGAAGGTATGGGTGAGTGGACAGAAGGAGACAGGTCTTCAGCTGCTTCTTTTCAGCTGGGTAGAAGGCCGCAGAGTCATACTATGTGCCGTTGTTTTCAAGTGTTTTTTTTTTCTTAAACTCGCTCAACCTTGTTCACTCATGATAAGCACGGTTTGAAACGTCGAGAATTGACAACATGACTAATGTTTGCTCTATTATGCCGCTTAACCAGTACCTCCTGACCTACTGAAGGTCGGTGACTCACCATACGAACTCTAAATTCATAAAGTCATGGATAAAGTGAATGATAAGTGTTATCATAGAAGTAAACGACTTCAACATCCCCGCAGATTACTGTGAAGTAAACGACCCCAACGATCCCAGTAGATGACTGTGAAGTAAACGACCCCCGCGACCCCAGCAGATGACTGTGAAGCGCCGGAGGGCATCCGTCAGCGTTTACGCCAGGAGTGATCAGGGCAGGTTGAAGGAGATGACGTCAGGACCGGTCAAGGCGGATCACCATCGGATAGCAGAAATACCTGAAATATAACACCTTCGAGGGATGGGAGAACAGACCACTGGAGTTCGTGATGGACACATCACAGCGCATTCATTTCAGATAGTGTTCAAAAAAGTGTTTCACTGTGTTAATTTTTGGCGCTGAATTGTTTTTGTAAGTGTTAATTTACGTAAAAATCCGAAACATTCGAAATAACTATAACCAGCTTCTTCCACCTTAAGCCGACGCCTAATGTACGAAACAAAACTTTCTTTTAACACCCATGCCATCATAACATGCCTGGCACGTGCGAATAGTTCATGGATTATAATGTAGTACACCATGTACGTAAATGAATCTATACATATATGCACGTATATATATATATATATATATATATATATATATGTATATATATATATATATATATATATATATATATATATATGCCTGTTTGATTAAAAACGACCGCTGATTCTGCATTAGCCGGCTTCTTGATGCATCGTTGGAGGTTCCGGGCTTCCGACTTCACAGTATATCGAAGATAGCTCGCACAAAATCACTCATACATTCGTCAATGTAAATGGCACGTGTCATGTGTTTGGGGTTTTAAAAACGAAAGCTCCGCATCGCTATCTTAAGAACATGTTTTAGAACGGAGAGGACTACAAATCCTATCATTACTTGGATGCATATGAAATGCATCTGCGATGCAAACACCGTGAAGTTACATACCACTAATTACATGTACAGGAACTACCACCCACCGTATTAACTCAAGAGTTGTGCAAAAATTTGTCTGTTCACTTTAGTTTGTCGGATTTGCCAGGACTGCTCGAACGCGCACAGAAAAGACGTTGTCACTTATGATCGCACAAGGGAAACCTCAAAATTTATTGTGAGAAACAACCCTAACAAAGCCGAAAAGCTAAAATGTACCAATGTAGTGTATCAACCCAAATGTGATACCGAAATCTGCAAACGTCGTTCCATACACTACATTGGCGTAACCACAACGACACTCTCACGACGCCTGACAATGCACTTAGGCCACGGGGCACCTCTGGAATACGTACGACACGAACATGACAGGATATTAACACGAGAACTGACGGACAACACTGACGTTCTTCAGACAGAATACCGGAAGACGTCTTCAAATTCGGAAAAGCATATCAAACAATCTTTAATGCTAAGTCCAAGTCCAAAGCCGTGAACCTGAAACGATGCATCAAGCTTGCTAATGCGGGAATTAGCGATCATTTTCAATAAGACAAGCATATATATGCATATATATATATATATATATATATATATATATATATATATATATGTATATGTATGTATGTATGTATATATATATATATATATATATATATATATATATATATATATATATGTATATATATGTATATATATGTATATATATATATGTATATATATATATACACATATATACATGCATAAATACATATGTATACATGCATGTTTAAACATACAGTCACATATATTCAGATACATATCAGTAAATTAATGATTTCATATGCTCCCAGGCAGCACAAACGTGGCCGCGTCAGGGGCGCCGTAGCCCGGCAGCGCGCTGATCACAACGGTACGCGGCGCCGCTGCAGACCTGCCGTGTATATCTGGGCGCCGTAGCCCGGCAGCGCGCTGATTACAACGGCACGCGGCGCCGCTGCAGACCTGCCGTGTATATCTGGGCGCCGTAGCCCGGCAGCGCGCTGATTACAACGGCACGCGGCGCCGCTGCAGACCTGTCGTGTATATCTGGGCACCGTAGCCGGGGCGCGCTGATTACAACGGCACGCGGCGCCGCTGCAGACCTGTCGTTATATCTGGGCGCCGTAGCCGGCAGCGCGATGATTACAACGGCACGCGGCGCCCGCTGCAGACTGCCGTGTATATCTGGGCACCGTAGCCCGGCGGCAGCGCGCTGATTACAACGGCACGCGGCGCCGCTGCAGACCTGCCGTATATCTGGGCGCCGCAGCCCGGCAGCGCGCTGATTACAACGGCACGCGGCGCCGCTGCAGACCTGCGTGTATATCTGGGCGCCGGAGCCCGGCAGCGCGCTGATTACAACGGCACGCGGCGCCGCTGCAGACCTGCCGTGTATATCTGGGCGTAGCCCGGCAGCGCGCTGATTACAACGGCACGCGGCGCCGCTGCAGACCTGCCGTGTATATCTGGGCGCCGTAGCCCGGCAGCGCGCTGATTACAACGGCACGCGGCGCCGCTGCAGACCTGCCGTGTATATCTGGGCACCGTAGCCCGGCGGCGCGCTGATTACAACGGCACGCGGCGCCGCTGCAGACCTGCCGTGTATATCTGGGCACCGTAGCCCGGCAGCGCGCTGATTACAACGGCACGCGCGCGCCGCTGCAGACCTGCCGTGTATATCTGGGCACCGTAGCCCGGCAGCGCGCTGATTACAACGGCACGCGGCGCCGCTGCAGACCTGCCGTGTATATCTGGGCGCCGTAGCCCGGCAGCGCGCTGATTACAACGGCACGCGGCGCCGCTGCAGACCTGCCGTGTATATCTGGGCACCGTAGCCCGGCAGCGCGCTGATTACAACGGCACGCGGCGCCGCTGCAGACCTGCCGTGTATATCTGGGCGCCGTAGCCCGGCAGCGCGCTGATTACAACGGCACGCGGCGCCGCTGCAGACCTGCCGTGTATATCTGGGCACCGTAGCCCGGCAGCGCGCTGATTACAACGGCACGCGGCGCCGCTGCAGACCCGCCGTGTATATCTCCCCGGGGCGTGCGACCCGAGCGCCCCAAGTCTGATCGCCCCCATGTGCACACTCCACGTGCTGTTCGTGGCGTTCTCGTGACGTTTTGACGTGCAGCCAGACTGCGCTCGCAGCCATGAGAACAGGTGGCGCCGCCCCGGGCCATACTGTGCCGTCTCCTTATGCTATTTCCCCTCCGCCGAATGGTCCCCGCGGCATGACAACGACCCGCGCTCGGCGACCGAGCCGTGGACCCTGATGGTCGTTAGGGAGTGACGCTGGGTGAAGAACGTTTTCTAGTGCCTTCGAGAGGGTTCACCGCCGATCATGATGGCTTATCGCAAGGAAACGTTACGCATCATTCATTACGCAGCTCTACTACTGCGTGCTTTTCTGCAACGTATTTTTGTATGCATGGTTGTCATGGTCAGAAGTGATATCTCGTCTGGGGCGCTTTAAGTCTAGGTGATATCATCGTTACCCCAACACTTGGTAAGCCACATTTTTAGCTTGATTTTTAGCCTTAAAGCCTTCCCCTCCCACTTCCCTCCCCTTGATCACGGACAATAACCACAACCGCATCAAACCAGCCACCACTGCGGCACACAACCACCCAAACCACGGCGTCGTCCGTACCGGCTCATGACGTCGTAGATTTTCGGCACCAGCGCCATGACGTCGAAGGCGGCGTACACGATCATGTCGTCTGTGAGCGGCCGGCGCGCCCAGAACTTCTGGTCCCGCCGGTACACCTGGTGACAGAGCCGTTCGCCGCTCGGTGACGGGGGCAGGGGCTCACGCCTCACCGGCGGGCGACGGCACCGGCCGAGACGCGGCGACGGAGCCAGACTCGGCCCGCACCGACAGCGATCGCCACCGCCGACACGTTCACCCGCCGGTGAACGTGTCTGCTGACGGGACGTCCCGTCAGCAGACGGCTGATGATGGGACGTGCCGCTTCAGACGCTGGGCGAGGCAGGCATTCCATCAACCCCCACAGCAAACACGACGACACGCGGTAACGACCTCCAACTGTCCCCACCTCGGGAAGCGCACCGTCACCTGCCCCATGACGAGTGGGGCCCGCAGTAGTCCGGACCGGACTTCAGCGCCCACTCGAGGTCCCCGGCGCCGCTCGCGGACAGGCCGCCTGGCGGCCACGCCGCACGGCCCGGCGTCGGTCGGCCTGCTCGCGCTCACCTTCTTGATGTGCTCCTTTTGCGGGTTGACCGGCGCCTCGTACGTGCGACACAGCGTCACCAGTGACACGGACTTCACCTTGTACACCGGCTTGCCCGTCTCTTGCTGCTGCAGGATGGCGTGCGCCGCCTGCCAGCACAACACACACCCGTGTTACGGCATGCTCGCACCAGCGTGGCGGGCTTACAGCATCCTTGACAGACGTGGGGGAGGGGGGGGGGGGGAGGGCATCCAGTGCACATAGATCCCGAGACCACGGCACAACCCCCAAACGCAGTGTGGGGCAGCACGGCCCACACCGGCATAGCGGAATTAGATAGCTGCTATCAGACACGGACACTGCGGCTGACCGCGCTCAGCACGCAGCAGGAGTGGGGCTAACGCGCAGCTCAACAGGCACAGCGGAGTTACCGCCCAGCCCAACAGGCACAGCGAGTTACCGCCCAACCCACAGGCACAGCGGGGCTAACGCTCAGCCCACAGGCACAGCGGGGTTGCCGCTCAGTCCAACAGGCACAGCGGGGGCTCAGCCCAACAGGCACAATGGGGCTAACGCTCACCCCACTGAGCCTAAGAGGCACAGCGGGGTTACCGCTTAGCCCACAGACACAGTGGGTTTACCGCTCAGCCAGAAGGCACAGCGGGGGCTCAGCCCACCGATGACGGGGGATACTCCACAGAACGCACGGCGCGGCGGACCGGACTCAGGGTGGCCATCGAACGCCAGCCATGACGCCCGAATGGCGAAGCCCAGCCAGCCGCCGACCTCGCGCTGCACCCACAGCCACGGTGGCTTTTCGGTAACGCGGCCCCACAACATAGCCTCCTCTGGTCGCTTAAATCCGGCAATCTGGTTTTTCACATAGCTTTTACTTTCTTGAGCTTGTACACGCGCGCCTACGACTCATATCATACTGGATGCCCGCGGTCGAACGTAGGCTCCAACTAGGGTCACGTACTCTCCAGTTCACGCCTGGCCACAAGCACTCCAAGTCCCCCGCCCGGCCTTCTGTAGATCGATGGGCTTGCATGAGCTATTTCGGTAGAACGCTAATCCCAGTGACGTCAACAGTGACCCGCAAATTCCTACCGCGAGTCAGGACGGTTTATCAGTCAATCGTCACTTGATTGCCCCAATGAAGGCACATGGCTCGGGCGTGGGAGCTGTACCTGGAGAGCGTCACAGGCGGATCCCACCGCGCGGTGCGCACTCGCCGGCCGCCGCTGCGCTGGTCGTGACGCGCGTGACGGGCGAGCGGAACGGCGCGTGCCGCGCGGGATGTAGCGCGGCGTCAACACTCGCGTCCGGCTGGCCGGGGCGAGAGCTGCCGGGTCGAACCAGGCTTACAAAAGTGAGGCACGCAGCGGTCATCGTACGCGGATGCGAGCCGTTATCTGGACTTCGGCACTGCGCCGACCTCGATGGCCATTTTGCGTTGCGGGCGACTGGCCGGCAGTCGGATGACGGGAGAGGATATCGACCGAGAGAGAGAGGCGCTGAGGGGGGGGGGGAGTTTTCGCGATGGGGGGGGGGGGAAGACGTGCTCGCTTGTGACGCGATCGCACCTTGAGCGGCTTGACTGGTCCCGGGGGCTGACACCCTACGCGTCTATGGCACGTGGTCTATGTCCGTTCACAATGACTACGTTGTCACGAGAACAGCGCCAGTGAGGTGACCATACAGACAGGACGACCGGTCATCGTCGAGGAGAGGGGGCACTCCATTTCAGAGCTGTCATCGCCAATGGCACAGGGGTGACGTCATCAATCGTCAATGTCACGGGAGCGATGCCAGCAGCCGTCCCCTTCACCTGCACTAACAAGTAGAGGTTGGTTATGAACACCCCACCACGGGGTAAGGGTGACGTCATCCCAGCGTCACTTCGGCGGCGCAGACGGTGCTCGGGCGCCGCAGACCGTCCCCCGGACGGCCCCTGCTCCGCTCCGCAGGCCACACCTGGACGGCGCTCAGACAGGGGTCCTCCGGTCACACCTGGACGGCGCCCAGACAGGGGTCCTCCGGTCACACCTGGACGGCGCCCAGACAGAGGTCCTCCGGTCACACCTGGACGGCGCCCAGACAGAGCGCCGGCAACAGGTGCGCGTCGACGTCGTCGTCGTCGGCGTCGGCGGCCATGCGATCAATAGCTGGCAGCAGCAGCCGACGACGGCCGCGGCAGCCGCACACCAACCGGACCGCGGGCGCCGCCCGCACGAATGGCACAGCGGCGGCACAGCGGCGGCACAGCACGGCTGCGGACGGAGCGGCGCGCCCACCGCGGATCGAGCCGACAGCAGCCACCGCCCAGACAGTGCAAGCAGCACAGCAGACAGCGGCGGCGGCGGCGGGTGAGCGTCTCGCGGCGCCACAGAAGCAGTGACGCAGTGGGAGTGCCTCGGCGACCGAGCGCCAGTGTCGGCGAGGCCTCGGGTGGCTGACCGAGCGCCAGTGTTGGCGGGGCCTCGGGTGGATGGCCGAGCGTCAGTGTCGGCGGGGCCTCGGCGGCCAAGCGCCAGTGTCGGCGAGCGTCAGTGTCGGTCGCTGACGAGCGCCAGTGTCGGCGGGGCCTCGGTGACCGAGCGTCAGCTACCGGCGGAGCCTCGGTGACCGAGCGTCAGTGTCGGCCGGGCGGCGGCCGCGTGTCTGATGCCGCCTAACGGCCGATAGCGGGGTGCCGCCGGCGCGGTGACTGTGCGGCGGCACCACTAACGCCATGAGCGTGCAGCTGGAGGTCGAGTTCGAGCGGCGGCCGCCGGTGTTCGTGGCCGGCGAGACAGTGCACGGATGCCTGCACGTGGAGGTGGCGGTCAGCGAGGTGCGGCTACGTTCGCTGCACCTGCGCGTCGACGGCAGCGCCCACACCGAGCTCACCGAGAGCATGCCCGGCGTGACCGTGCTCCGCGACACCGAGGACGGCCGCCACGCCGACCGGCAGCGGCTCCTGTACGCCGACATCGCGCTGCTGGCGCGCGGCACCCACGCCATGGCGCGCGGCCGGCGCGCCTTTCCGTTCGCCTTCGTCATCGCGCCAACCACGCCGGGCACGCTGGCGCTGCCGCACGGCGAGGTTAAGTACGGCGTGCGCGCGTCGGCGGCGCTGGCCGAGCTGCTGGCGCGCGACGTCACGCGCTGGGCGTCGTTCGAAGTGCGGCCGCGCCAGGAGGTGGCCGCGCGCCCCGCGCTCCGCCAGCCCCGCATCGTGACTGGCGCCGTGGCCGAGCGCGACCTGCTCAACCGGGGCTACACGCTGCGGCTGGCGCAGCGCGGCGCCACGCCGGGCGACACGCTGCGGCTCGAGCTGCACGCGTCGGCGCCGCTGCTGGCGAGGATCAACGCCGAGTCCGGCCTACTGCAGCTGGTGCAGGTGCTGCACTACCGGCCGGCTGGCGCGCGGTTGGCCCAGTGCAGCGTGCTGGCGCGCGAGGTGGTGCCGGGCGCGCGCTTTCGCGGCTGGGAGCGCGTCGAGCTGACGGTGCCGGCCGGCACGCCGTGGTCGCTGCTGCCCGAGACGTGCGCCGTGCTGGGGCGCGTCTTCCACCTGCGCGTCAACACCAGCCTGATCCAGGCACGCATCCCGCTGGTCATTGGCACGCCGCCAGCTGGGCCGTGTCCGCTGCCGCCGCCGGCGCCGCCGCTGCGCCTGCCGCCGCGGCCGCGGCCGCGGCTCGAGGAGCCGCCGCCCACCTACGAGGAGGCCATGCGCCAGTTGACCGCGTGAGACGCCGGCGCCGAGCCCGCTCCCGCGCCGCCGGCGGCGCAGGTGCAGGCCAGGTCGCTGCCGCGCTGCCCGGTCACGGACTGACACCGGACCCCCACTGCCGCCGGTTCCACGGGGGCGGGGGGGGGGACGAAATCGCACACGGAGGCCCGCCAGACGCGGGCACCGCCCGGAGCAGCGCTCGGCACCACGCCAGCTGCAACTGATCGCCGCACCCCGGATTCTGCGCGCGCACGTCACGTGACTCGCTTCAACGCGCAACCGAACCTGCTGTGAACCGTGAGCAGCGATGGACAAAAGCTTTGTGAATTAGGCCATCTCTTACTTGTTAACAGGACGCAGCGTGGTGAGGGCTATTTAAGGGATGTCCTTGGCAGTGTTATCTTGTGATAACGCCGAAGGCGTCTTCCTTGACATTATCATGCCGAGACACGGTGAGATCACACGCAGCAGATGACAGCGTTCCGAGCGCAGAAAGTCAGGGATATGGAACACATGCCTTCGCTTTATGGGCAAACGACTCATCTTTTCCCAGCTGCTTGTTGCCTTCCGCGTGCCAATACGACGCAAGATTGCTACAATTTTCATCTCGTGCGAGTGTGCCCGTGTTCGGGGCCTTTGTCATTCCACGGCAGCATTTGGGAAAGGTGGCATATGCAACGTAAAGCCTTGATGAGTTGAGAGTGAATATATTTCGCTGTTCTGTGGGGAGCCCCTGGCACTAACCGCGACAACGCCGTAGCACTCACAATCATTTCTGTTTATTGGTAGTGTCCATAGCGACTTGTGGGATGCTGGGGTGCCCATATGCTGCTGTGTGACATGTCTACATTTCACGTGCGTCACTTGTCGCCGAACTCTGTACCTTTTCTCGTCAGAGCCGCTCATACCCGTTCTTATACATTACTCAATATATGTATGCTGATGACGTGTGCTTGTTGCAAGGGCGCGGAAACCGAGGGGAGGGGCAGTGGGGACAGCTCGCCCCCTCCCCAGTTTGAAAGCAAGGGGGCGCCCCCGAACTTGAACGTCCAGTGCATGGCCCCTTGTGGTATGTTAGGGTCGATTCTGAGTCGTGAAGGGATTACGTAGGCCTTCAAAAGTCCATTCTGACCTATCGAGGGCTATTTCGACCTATTTAGGATCCATCCTTACCAAAATACGGGACTTCTGACCATACAGAGGACCCAATTCTGACCTGAAGAAGGCCAACTATTAACTGTGGAGGGCTCATTTCGGCATGTAGAGACTCCCTGTGATCTGTAGATGGCCCATTATTGACTGGAGAGCCCATCGCGGCCTGTAGATGACCCACGCTGGTCTTAAGAGGGGTCATTCTGCCCAGCAGAGGGTTCAGTATGACTTGTAGATGATCCGTTATGAACTGTTGAGGGTTCAATACTGACTGTC